CTGGTTCCTCACCTGCCACCACAAAATGGGCAGAGAAAATGATGATGGAACAGATTTCCAATGAAACTTAAATATCTTTTCAGCAGCTACATTATGGTTTAAGGCAATGATCATTTGGTCCATCTGGCAGGAAGGCAGCCAAAAAATGTATAATTATATAAAATACGTATTTACATCCAACAATCATTAGCAGTGAACTCTTTCTAAAGCTATATAGCTTTGAGGTGTTGGCTAGCGCTATTAACATTAGTAAGACATTTAAGAAGGTGTTTCCTTTCATCCCAAATTTATTTAAACTTTGAGTCATTCCTTTGTTTTTATTATTTAAATTTTATTTATTTTTTTGAGAGAGAGTGAGCAAGACCACAAGCGGGGGGCCAGTGGGGGGTGGGTAGAGGGACAGGCAGACTCCCCATGGAGTGAGGAGCCCTTACACAGATGTGGGGCTCAGTCCCAGGACCCTGAGATCGTGACCTGAGCCAAAGTCAGATGCTTAACCGACTGAGCCACTCAGGCTCCCCGAGTCATTCTATTTTTTTTTTTTTAATATATTTTTTAAAGATTCTGTTTATTTGAGAGAGCATGAGCAGTGGGGAGGGGCAGAGGGAAAGGCCGAAGCAGGCTCCCTGCACTGCCAGGCTCAATCCCAGGACCCCGAGATCATGACCTGAGCCAAAAGAAAGACGCTTAACCGACTAAGCCACCAGGCGTCCCTCCAAGTCATTCTTTTAAAACATATTTCTGTGCATGTTTTACAATGTACATGATATATTGGCACAGAAGTACATATATAATTTGTAAGGATACATACAATGGGAATACATTACAAAGTTGTTTTTTTTTTTTTAAAGATTTTATTTATTTATTCGACAGAGAGAGACGCAGCGAGAGAGGGAACACAAGCAGGGGGAGTGGGAGAGGGAGAAGCAGGCCTCCCGCTGAGCAGGGAGCCCGATGCGGGGCTCTATCCTGGGACCTGAGATCACGACCTGAGCCGAGCCGAAGGCAGACACTTAACGACTGAGCCACCCTGGCGCCCCTTTTACAAAGTTTTTTTAATGAATGGGTGTGTAATCAAAATTAGTAGCATAAATGCATGAGGTTCACATTTTTTGTAGTATTATTTTAATCACACAATTTAAATGTTTTATGCATTATCCCGTTACAGTGTCCTTGATGTTAAGTCACATTTAGGTGACTTTTCCAGGTTGAAATGGAACAAAGTAAAGTAGAATGGAATTAATCGAATTATGGAATCAGTTATTGTAGGTGAAATAGATGTTCAATAACCAAGATCCCTGTAATTTAATAATTTAATAATAAAGGAATTGTGGTAATTCAATTCATTTGTGGGGAAGCTGGGTCTAAATCAGAGATAGGCATTATTAAATATTCTTTAAGAAGTGCTTCTTTAATAATTTTGAGGACAGATAAGAAGAAACCAAGTTAATTGCATTTTAGCAAATCTTTTAAGTGCTTTCATTTAAGAGCTGAGAATTATTTATCATTACTCTGTTCATTGTTTGAATTAAAATTAATACCAAAGTGGTGCTTGAGAATGGTCTTTTTTCCTTTTACATTTAAATAGGCTAAACATTTGCTTTGTTTATACCATTAATTTGTTTTCACACAGGCTGTGAAGGTAAACCATCAACTCACAATTAATTAGTGGAATCAAAATTAATGAGGTTTTACTGTATTGGGCTATTTCTACTCTAGGCCAGTTTTCTTCACAGGAGTTGTACTAGCATTTTTTTGAAAGAAGAAAAATTAGATTTATTTTAATCCATATTTAAAAAGCAGAGAACCATCTTTTCTCGTGAGTTAAGTACCTCTAATAACTACGCTTTCTTGGGCTTAGCAGTATTGATTGTTTTGTTTTGTTTTGTTTTCAGTCTTGATTATTTTGGCTATTTCCAGACTGTTGCTTATTACAGTAAAGCTAGAGTTAACTCTTCAGATGCTTATTTTCATTTACAGGGATGGTATATCAGTTTTAGTTTGGACCAAACATTTTTTGTGTGTGTGTGTGGGTGGGACATGTCATTTGCCTATTTTCATCATTATTGCACTGTACGAAAGAGGAACAGGACTGTTCTTCAAAGCATGTTTATGAAGTATATGTGTTAGAGTGAATCATGTGGAAATGAAAAGCTAGAATTTTTTGAATTACAGTTATTTTTTCCCTTCAGAAAATTACATAGTCTGCTAAAAGCAGACCCTTTGCTATTATTTAGTATTTGCTTTGTCCTTTATTTTGACTAATAAGAATGATAACATAATGTAGACTTTTTAAGTCTTTTCTTGAGGATGGATCACATTTTCTTGAATTTTTGAAGTTAGCCACCTGCATTTAAATGGGAGGTTGAAAGTTGAAACTTCTCCTGGGGAGTTGATACCTGAAGGTCAAGTTCCTCATAGGAATGGGGATGAATGTCTGCAGTCCTCTCTCTGCTAGGTTATAAACCAGTAAAGAATACTGGTGAAAATTCACCTGTTGTTGAATAGACTTCACCCTAACTCATGCCCCTTTGAAATGGAATGCCAAGAGTGCACGTGGACACGATTGAGGTGACTGTGGACTTTGGGGGCCAGCGAGTCAGCTAGTGAGGGATGTGGCATCACTTAAGCATTAGCTCATTTTAAAGATGAGGAGCTTGTGAGTCAAAGTAGCAGAGTCACAAGTAGTGGTGTGGGTTGTGTGTGGTGCGGCAGATCGGTGCCTGATTAAAGGACGTGGACAGATGAAAAGAAATGTTGTCTAGGAGGAAAAGATCCCTGCAAACATTTATTTCCTGTGATGAGAGAAATAGATAAAATGACCACTTTTTCGCAGATTGATGCTGCCGAATGGTAATAGTAGTAGTAGTTAACCATTAATGTAGCAACCGTCCCTTTTTGTGAGTTGAATGATGGATATATTTGATAAATACAAAGTCGTTACTAATGGTAATCTATAGAAATGCAAAGCATCCATTGTATTAAACTGTTATCTTTGGTTAGCAATGTGTGTCTGGTGGAACTCATAAATATTTTATATGGTCTGAAGTAAAGGCATCCCAGATATATTTTCACCTTTTTATTCTAACATTGCCATATTTAAATGATTTTTTTTGTAGTTTGACACTTTATTTTGATTTATTGCTTAATTATAAAGCTAATTTTTGTGTGTGCCATGGTCAACTACCCCTCAGTCCTTACGTCTTTTTAAAGGAAGAAATCATGTTTTATGTTATAGTTGAATGCTTATCAGGGAACATGAAATAAGTAAGCTTAAAAATGTTTAGGAAAATTCTATATGATGTTTTAATAAAGGTTCATAACATGATCTTTCTGAACTTGGTTTTTTAACTTTTAAAATTAGTAAACTCCTGCTATGCTGATTATAATGTTTAAATCATTGTATAACAAAAAATACAAAGAAAGCTAACACAGAATAAAAGGTGGTTAATAACATACCTGAATTTAAGAACAAAGTAGATAGTTAAATCTTACTTTGTTTTATTAATGCTCTGCTTCATTCAAAAATTGATTTTAAGTTGTTTACAAAAATAAACATTATTCAGTAAGATAAAAATAAAGCTAAACAATGAAGGGAAACAGAGAAGAAAGTAGAGGAGGCTGAGTCTGCATTGCAGAAGTGCATGCCCCTCCCCCACCAACTGTGATGGGTAGAAAAGTCAAGCCTAGGTGTCTTAGTAGCCAAAACGTGAAAGGAACCAGTTATAGCAGCTTTCTCCAAAGTGTATTCCTCCAAAACTCGGTCTTCTAAGATCACCTTGGTCAGATAAACTTCAAGATGAGTGATACTGTAGTCCCTTCATAGAATTCCATTCCCATCAGCACGTTAAAGGTTCTTAGAAGTTCTGTGGATAAAGTCAACAATGGTAACTTGTATTTTCTTTGTACATTTGGCCACCCCCATCTCTTTTCATTTGATACCCCTGTCAGCATTTCCCATTCAGTGAGATGTCCTAATCAGTGTGGGATTGTTCTTTAGCTAAAACTGTTTGCTTAGGCAAAGCCCAGCCCAGTGAGGTTTGAGAAGTTTCTCCTTTGGATCCCATTGAAGGGATACTATGTATATAGTGCAGTGGGCCTCATCCCCAATATTATTCACAATATATCCAGTGATGTGTGGCTGTTTTCATATGGTTTCACCTCAGTATGAACTGAAAGCATAATCCAATAAATCACTAAAATGTTAAAGTTTTAAATAGCTTATAAATTGTCTTAAAAATTTAAATACCTTAATTTTTAATTGTCTGGGTTGTGGACTCCGTTCTCTGTTGCTAGTGAAAATCTTTACCGTCTTTGTTTGATTATTTATATTCCATCTTGTTTTAAAAGGAATTGAAGGGCACAAACTAGAGATGAGCAGAGAATGCACAGCAGAATGTTTAATTGGCTCTTGTGGGTTAGGGGAGGTGGTGCACCTGCTGACATTACAGACAGAAGCTGTGAAGCACGTCTACACATAATACCAAGTATCTCTGCCTCTTGAAAGGCATGATTGTGGCTGAGGGACCAGGAGGGTATTGTTTTTGAGCAAAGGAGCAGGGAAGTACATGGGTCCAAAATGACAGAGTCCCAAACAGAAAACAGCACCGCAGAAACCCCGCTGTAGCCGCTAACAAAGGAAAGTTCACACTGTGGAAAGAGAACGCAAAATAACAGATCAATTTTTTTTCCAGCTTCGCCTGCGCCTGTACAGCAATCATGTTAGTAAGGTCATCTTCACATATGAACAGCAGATTTTCTAAGGCATCTTTTCCATCTTTAATCTAGGACTCATTTAGCATCTCTTAAAGTGTTGTCATGATTGAACTGGGTGTTTTATGTATAATAGGAAGGAACAAGTTTTTCAACACAATCTAATACTGTGGTTGGTTTTTAGCAGCAGGGAATGTATAATAAATTTTGGTTTACATTATTGAGGACCAGGTCCATTTTCTTCTGAATTTAATCTAAATATAATTAAGGTTTATTCTTCTTTTTAGGCAAGAGTGCAGCACTGCATCTGCTCTGTAGCCAGTGACCACTCAGTGGGGCTTCTAAGTCTGCGAGAGAAGAAATGCATTATGCTGGCATCTCGTCATCTCTTCCCTATTCAGGTCATCAAGTGGAGGCCTTCTGATGATTACCTAGTAGTGGGATGTTCAGATGGCTCTGTATACGTCTGGCAAATGGATACTGGTAAGAACAGGTGTTAAGAGACAGGCTAGAAAATTAAATGGGTATATTTGATTTCCTGGAAATTAATCTTTTATGTGAGGAAGAAAGACCTAAAATGTAAAAAGTTGTTGCTTTTACTTCTGATCACTGCTTTTTCTAAATGTTCTCATCATTGTCAACAAAGAACTATTTAAATGTCATCTCATTTGTTGTACTGTGCCAAATACTTTCGAGTAGCTCACTGATCTACAGAGGAATGCAGTTGAAGACAATATACAGATTAGGACAGGCAGCACAGACAACAAAACCTAAGTGATTTCTATATAATTCATGAGGTAAATTGTGAGCAAGATTAAGGAAACCATTTTTGTATCAAGTTCAGAAACAGTGGAAGAAGAAAAAATTCTCTTTTATATGAACAGCAGAAAGGCAATATGGAGCAGTTAATTATAGGCGGTAATTGAAACGAAAGTTTTAGTATCTAGAGAGAACATTTAAAATTTCAAGTTTCAGAAATTTTGCGTTTGGGGCGTAATACAGAACAAGTAAGGTGTGGCTTAGAAGTACACACAATTATGTATAATGTTTATACATAGAATCTTATGGTTTTCCCTGGGAAATTTTTCAGTGTGTAACTAAATGTTTACTGCTTTAGGCTTTTCAAAACACATTTTATTCTACTTTTACCCTTTTAAGTCATCTTCTATGAGTGATGAAAGCCCTAGCTGTACTAAATAATACTTCCACTAATTTGTTTTTCTTTTCTTCATTTCTTTGTTTTAAATAGTCCTTTTCCAAATCAGGCTATATATACCTATCTGTTCTGTGGTGCAGTAGGGAGTTCTGCTAATTCTTTCTGTAACAAGTAGTCACAGTCTCAGGGATCTGTTATTTATAGTCCTTGTTTTAACTGGTAGTATGTAGGCAATCTTGCCAAGAGAGAACATTCTTGAAGAGTGTCAAACTTCTTAACTTTTGCCTTTAATTTTTTTTGTCTGATTATAAAAGAGGGTCATGCTTTCTGTTAAAATTAAAAGCACAGATTAGAAGAAATGAACTGATATCTCATTGTTCAATAGTAAATATTAACATTTTGTCATATTTCTCTCTGGTCTTATTTCTGTGCATTTTTAGAAACAAAATTGCTGTCATATTACATATGTAACTTTGTCTCGTTTGTATTCCTTTTTGTGATATCCTGTCTGCCAACCAGCACTGTTTCATGTTTGCTGGTTTGTCTACCCCACAAACTAAATACGCCCAGTTTGTGTTGCTCTGGAGTCAGACTGCTTGGTGTGGATTTAGGATCGACCATTTGCTAGCAGTGCGATCTGCTGCAACTTACTGGACTTTTGTCTCTCAACTTACTACTCTGTAAAATGAAGATCATAGTAGTTCCTATTTTATAGTACTGCTGGGAGAATAAAATGAGATAATATTTACCTGGTGTATAGTGGACATTTCTAAGTGTGTGCATGTGTATGTTTGTGAAATCGAAATTTGTGTCTATGCACGTGTTTATATTTGCTATTAATGTTATTTAACAAATGTACTGCTTTCCTTGTTACTTTGTTGAACTTGGGAATGTGATTTTACCTACATTTTGAAATGTTTAAAACTTTGAGGATTAATATTAAAGAAAGTAAGTTCTTACAGCAGTGACCTTCAGAAAGCACTATTTTAAAATACTATAAATATTAAATTAACGATTGACAATTGATAAATCAAGCACAGATGTGAGAGTATGGTAAACTTGTCTAGGACTTTTAAAAATTAAAATAATATTCTAAAGGAAGAGAATATCATTTTTCTGAATTTTTCAGATACTTAAATAATTGATACTTGACTACAGGTACTTTAAATACATTTGTAAAGAATATGAATATGAAATTCTTTGCAAATGAAATGTTACTAAAAGACAAAGTTATTTTTCCAGTAATTTCCCCAGGAGTTGTTGACAGATAGTTCCCAACTATAGGTGTACTGAAGGATATTACTCTTATAGCCAGTTTAGTGTAATTAAGCCCATTTTAGATTAAACACAATATATATAATATTGAAATTTCACAATTATCTTACCTTCAAGAGGGTTTAGGTAAACAATCAGTCAGTGTGCCATTTTTAAATCAAACGATAAAGAAGCAGAATTTGTTTTGGATTTAACCAGAATAGGAGGTATACATTCCTTTTTCCTCCTTGCTACTCAGCCTTTAGCTAGTGATATAAAGGCCCCTCGGGAGTGAGTAAGGCACATCCTGAAGGTATTGACATTATTTATTTATTAAATTTATTTATTTATTAAATAAAAAATGAAGCCAAATAAATCAGATTCAGCCAAGGTTTGATGTATGAAATGTATTTAAACTCTGAGGAGACACTTTATCCCGCTTCTTAGCATTTTGGGGATATATTTTTACAAATGAAGATATATTACACTAAAAGTACTCACGCATAGTGTGTAATTTTCTGTTTGCTGTTTTGAATTTTACTGATGTTTCTAGCTTAAAAACACTTAAAAATGTCTTTATACTTTTATGCAGCATTTTCTTTAGTTGTTTTTCCCTTCGAATAGGTAGTTTTTTTTTTTTTAATTTTATTTATTTATTTGACAGAGACAGCGAGAGAGGGAACACAAGCAGGGGGAGTGGGAGAGGGAGAAGCAGGCTCCCCACCGAGCAGGGAGCCCAATGCGGGGCTCAGTCCCAGGACCCTGGGGTCATGACCTGAGCCGGAAGCAGATGCTTAACGACTGAGCCACCCAGGTGCCCCTCAGATAGGTAGTTTTTATTTCCAGTATTTATTTCCTAATGAAATGAAGTTGAAGCTAGTAAAATATAATTTCATTAGAAAGACAGAGGTCCAGAATCTTTTGTTCTTTACTTGTGTCACCTTTATTATGTCTAGTAACAATTAATAGTGATGTGGAGGCCAGGAAAGTTATTATTCCTTCACATCTTAGATAGTTAGAAAATTAGTCAAATAACTAGCAACAAGATTTGGCCAGCTGGAGCTCTTGACTTCTACTTAGGATCTTATTAAAGGTGGCGCACTGACCTGGGTGGTGGCTGCTTCTGCATGGAGCTGTTCATGTGCTTCAGGGAGCAACTCTCTCATTCTTCACATTTGACGTTCCAAATAGGTGGGAAGAGTTGCTTCCACAGGCCTTTGACAAGGTCAAAATCCTGTCTGTTTGGGAAACAGTGGCATGCTGTACATAATGACTGATTTTACAAGATGTTCTTATCTCGCCATTAGCAAGTTTAAACAGCATTTTCATGTATCTGTTTTTGTCATATTTGTTACAGAACAAAAGTGATTCTCACATCATAGACCTGTTCCTGTAGAGACAGTTACTAGGTGTTCTCATACAGATGCAAACGCCAGTAGTGCTTGCCAGATATATGAGAAATTAGTGTAGGAAGTCCTGTCCCTTTACTTTGTTCTGTTATCTTTTTTCTTTATTTTCTGTCTATGAGTTTTCTGAAATCTTTCTGTTTTTGCATTTACTTTAAGGAATATGCATTAAAGTCATTTTATAAAAAATTAGGGGTAGCAGAGAATTATGAACTAATGGATATTCATGCCTATTGAAAAACCTATAAAGTTGGATAATCAAAAGCATAAGTGTCAATCAGGTTTTTCACACAAGTAAAGCCTTAGTGTGTGTGTTATACTTGCTTAAGACTTTATTTGCTTGAAATTGTCAATCAATTTTACTGATTGTAAGATTGCATAAATTTTCCTAAATTCACTGGTAGTGTGTATTTCTATTATTTAAACTTCCTGTGCAAAACATTTGCCTAGTAGTCAGTTGATGGTATCTTTAATGGATTTATAAGTGCTATTTGTGTAGTTTGTAATATCTATAAATATTTTCCTTTTATAATAAATACTTCTATTTACTTAAATTGATAGTTTTGTCTTGTTACTAAAATTACCAGAGAGAATCAGGAGGTGGTACTTCTGCCCAATCTTTTGTTACTAGAAGGGTTTAGTAGCAAGTATTTTCTTCACATTTTGACCCTTTGCCTGCTGTATTTAAGTAAGGTGGAAATTTGATTTTATGTTTCTATTTCACAACGTATGGCTTACATCATCAACTTTCCTATATCTCCTATATTTTTGTTTTTCATTCTGTTACAAAAAAATACTATAGGACAGGCAAAGAAAGGCACAAAGGATGGAATGGTTAAGAAAAAATGATACCTTTACAAAATCATAGTAAAACCAGTGTAATCAGAGTTTCTTTTTTCCCTATGGATGACTCACTCGGGAATTTTGAAGGAAGAGGTTGTTACAATGGAAATATGACCATCTTTGCTACCTCCCCCACCATGAGCCCTCTATACAGTTATTAATTACTAAATCCCTCCCATTAGGTACCCTTTGGCTTCCTTTTTTGTTTCCATAGTATTATTCTAACTTAGGACTATATTTTTTCACACCTAGGCTATCTTTATTTGCTTTCCTGTCTTCTTTTTCTACTTTCTAATCCATCCTGTACTCTGCTGGAAAATTAATCTTAGGAGATGAAACAACAGCAACAACACTTGGTTCATGAACGGTCTTAATGAAAACAAATTTATTTCCTGTAGCCTTTAAGATAAGGCCCTTCACAGTGTGGTATCTTCCTACCTTTGTCTTTCTGTCCATTTCTTTTAGACCAGTTGCTCTGTGCAAAGAATAATTATATTCAAGAATAATTGGGCCATTCTCTACCACTTCTTATCTTTTATATCATCCATATTGTTGCTCATGGTTTTCACTCATTTGGAACATTCTTTTTTTTTTTTTTTTTTTAAGATTTTAATTTTAGTGATCACACCCAGCGTTGGGCTTGAACTCACAACCCTGAGATCAACAGTTGCTCTGTGCAAAGAATAATTATATTCAAGAATAATTGGGCCATTCTCTACCACTTCTTATCTTTTATATCATCCATATTGTTGCTCATGGTTTTCACTCATTTGGAACATTCTTTTTTTTTTTTTTTTTTAAGATTTTAATTTTAAGTGATCACACCCAGCGTTGGGCTTGAACTCACAACCCTGAGATCAAGAGTTGCACACTCCCCCCGACTGAGCCAGCCAGGTGCCCCGGAACATTATTTCTTTCTATTTCCTTATTTGTTTAAATACTCTCTTTTAAGGAAATTTGAATAATAAAAATAAAATCTTCCATATTTACCCATGTAGTTACCATTCTATTGCTCTTTGTTGCTTTGCGTAGATCCAGATTTCTATCTGGAATGATTTTCCTTTTGCCTAATATTTAATATTTCTTGTAGTGCAAGGCTATACATGATGAATTCTTTCAGCTTCTGTGTGTCTGAAAAACTCTTTTTCATCTTCATTTTTAAGATTTTTATTCTGGTTGGAGAATTTTAGGTTGACAGTTGTTTTTTGTTTTTCCTTTTAAAACTCCACTGTCTTCTTGCATTATTTCCAATGAGAAATCTGCTGTCACCCTTAGCTTTGTCCCTCTATACGTGCTGTGTCAATTTTTTTCCAAGAGCTTTAAAAGTTTTCTTTTTATTATTGATTTTGAGAAGTTGGATTGTAGTTTTCTTTATATTTGTGCCGAGGGTTTATCGTACTTCTTGGATATGTTGGTAGGTGATTTTCAACCAATTTGGAAACGTTTTGGCCATTATTTATTCAAATATGTTTTCGATCCTTCCCTGCCCTTCCTCTCTTTAGAGACTCTAGTTATGTATTTACTTGGCTATTTGAAATTGCCTACAGATCATAGGTTGTCTTTTCATTTTTAAAATTATTTTTTTCTCTGTGTTTTATTTTATATAGTTTCTATTCTAGGTCTTCAAGTTTATTAGTCTCTTTTCTACAATGTCTAATCTGTCATTATTCCCATCTAGTGTATTTTTCATCTCAGACATCGTAGTTTTCATCTCTGTAAGTGTGATTTTGGTCATTTGGTATCTTCCATGTCTCTCTACTCAAACTTTTTGAACATCTGGAATACAGTTATAATAACTCTCAATGTCCTTGTTTGCTATTTAAAAAATCTGTGTCAGTTCTGGGTTGGTTTTTATTGATTTGAATTTTGTCCTCACTATCATATTTTCCTCCTTTTATCCAGAATAGCCTGAAGGTGGTTAAAGGGTAGAAGCAGGGAGATTAGCTTTTATGAGATTGCCTCTAGGCAATAAAAGATGATGGATTGTTATACCAGAGTGGTAGTGGTGGAGCTGGTGAGGAGTGGTTGAATTCTAGGTATATTTTGAAGGGAGAGTGAACAGGATTTGCTGATAGTTGGATAAGGGGCATAAAAGAATGAGATGGGTAAAGTTGACTCCAAGGTATTCATCATGAGCAACTCAAAGGATGGAATTCATTTCTAGACATTGAGAAGACAATGGGAAAAGCAGGTTTTGGAAAGACCAAGAGTTAATTTTTTTTTAAATACTGAGTTGAATATTAGACATCCAAGTAGAGATGTTGATTAGTAAATTGTGTATATGGGTCAGGAGTTCAAGTTGGGGATATGAGAGTGGGTGATGTAAATTTGGGACTTCTTAGCATGTAGAAGATACTCAAAGTCATGACACCAGATGTATCACCAAGAGGATGCACATGGTTTAGATATATTTCTGTGATGTGGAAGAAACCAGCAAAGGAGACTAAAATGGACTTTCCAGGAAGAAGAAAGTGAAGAGTGGGGTTGCCTAGAAGCCAAGCAAAAAAAAAATGTGTTTCAAGGAGTAGAGAGAAGGAACAAGTGCAGCTGATAGTAAATCATAGTAAAATGAGGACTGAGAACTGAATTAATTGGATTTAGCAACATGGAGAGTAGGTTCTGTGCATGTTTGGGGTGAAATCTGATTTGAGTAAGTTCAAAGGAAAGTGGGAGGAGAAAAATTTGTAGGTAGCAAATGTAGATAGCTATATAGAGGATGATAAAAAAAATGGGATACCAGCTGGAGAGAGATACTGGGTCAAGTGTGTTGTCATTTTTATGGGTCTGTGTTGTTTTTTTTTTTAAACAGGTGAAATAATTGTACATTTATATGCTGATGGGAATGATCATATGCTGGTGGGAATGATCTAGTAGGTAGGAAAAATAGATGAAGAGAAAGGGGAGAGTTGCTGAAATGATGTCCGTGGGCAGACAAAAGAGGGATGGGGTTTACGCTACAAGTGTGTTAGGTAGGCGTCTGGATAGTTCATGTGTTATTATAGAGTAATGTGAGTGGAGATATGGTGGTGGGAGCTGGTAGAACTTCTTTTCTAATTGCTTCTTTCTAAATGAAATAGGAAACAAAACTTTTCACCCAGGTGAGGGCAGGAAATGGAGTGTTAGAGATTGGAGGAGAGAAAGGCTATGAAATAATTAACTAGGAAAGTAGGAAAATGAAAGATCTGTGGAAATGTGGTCAATATTAAGGACCCCTTGAGATCAGTGGTCATGAATTTCAAGTGGATCTTTCAGCATGTTCTTCATTCATACCCATCTTCATTGTACAGGTGTGGAGTAGCTGGAGAGTTGGATTCAGCCAAGGTTGGAGTTTGCTCGGCTGGGGCAAGGAAGTGAGATGAGGACAGAGCTGTGCTTATGAGGACGGACGATGGAATTTTAGTTTATGGGACATAGGGAAATAAGGGGCAGGGCAAGCATGATAGGTGAATGAAATTTTGGAGTCAGTGCTGAACAAGGAATTATTGGGTCATAGGGTTGAAGTAAAGAATGGGAGCTGCTATCGGAGAGTGGAATTTTTGACATTGGGATCATGTTAGGATTTAGTTACTGGTAATGAGAAGATTGTAATGTGACCATTGTGTGGGGTCAAGTGTAGGGCAAAATTTATTGGAGTAGAGGAACTCAAAGAGCCATGTGATCGGGATGTGTGGAAGAATCATATGTGCTGGTGATTTTCAAACATTTTTGAACTTTTAAATCCTTTTAGAGTATACACACCCTCCTTTTCATACATACACAGAAAGTTTCAGGCAACAGCTCCTCCTTATGCTTTGCCTTCCGAAATACATTGGTCAAGACTCAATAAATTGGTTAGTAAAACACTGATTTGTGTTAATACTAAAATCACCAAGAATTAATTCCAGGATGACTATTGGAAAGAAAAGAAGTTAAGCCCTTTAAGGAAGGGGAGGGGCAAACTTGAATGGCATGTATATAAATACTCAACATTGGGAATAAAATATGCTGGGGTGTTTGGGTACTAGCTCAAAGACACAATAGAAATCTTGTATTTTGTTGACATTTATGTTTCTGGTGTTCTCTCTGGCTATTTTTCAAAAATTGATTTGTCCTCTTTTCGAATGACTCTGGAGGAATGCTCAGTGGATCAAAATAAACTTCATCATCATTTCACTGTCCTTATTATAATCTTCAGAAGATTATGTACAAATCCATAGAATGAGACCCTTTAAAACAAAGTATAGAGAAAAGCTGTCTGCATTGTAGGAAAGAGTTGTGCCTTAGCTTAGACATGAAATGCATAGGTGGAGATGAATGGAAAGAATGGCCAAATGAAGAAGCTTTGAAGTGGTCATAAGTTGGATTAGTAGTTCTTTTCATAAACACCCAGAGAAACATTTGATTGGGTATAAACAGTAAAAGTCAAGACATTTGCAGGCAGAATAAGTTACAGTTTTTTTCCTGCTTTGTGGAGATTCCCTAGAGAAAGAGAAGCTCCAGGAATTATTAAAGTAGAAAGAATGAGAAGAATAGCAAAATTTAGCTCTTTTGTTTGTGATTGATAGACAACTTAGAGGAAGGTGAAGTCATAGAAACTGATATGTGTAGTAGAGTAATGGTGTGGAGTATCATGAAGATCGTCTTGGAAGCAGACAGTGGAAAAGCCTGAGGGAAGTTGTTGAGGTCTCGGCTCTGAACCTGACTTTCTTGGGAAGTTGCAGTTGGGGCATTACAGGAGAAGAAACGGCTAAGGTAATGTTGCCTGGAAGATCCTCAGAGGAGGGAAGCACAAGGAAATGTTTCTGGGAAGCAGAGAGAAAAATACTCCCACATAAAAAAATCTATGCATTTTCTTTCCTTAAAAAATGACTCGGAGCGGTTATAGTGTTGTGTGTACTAATTGTGAATTTATACGTCTTCCAGGCGCGTTGGATCGCTGTGTGATGGGGATCACAGCAGTGGAGATACTAAATGCCTGCGACGAAGCAGTTCCTGCTGCAGTTGACTCTCTCAGTCATCCGGCAGTCAACCTAAAGCAGGCCATGACACGGCGTAGTCTGGCTGCTCTTAAAAACATGGCCCATCATAAGCTGCAGACTCTTGCAACTAACCTCTTGGCTTCTGAGGCCTCTGACAAAGTAAGTTTTATGTGTGTGTTCATGTGTGTAGCCCCCATCCTACTCCGTTTCATAACATAGGTTTTGGCATGGCTTAAGGACTAACTTTTGGGAGATGACATTGATGAAAAATAAGCTTCTAATTTTGTGTAGGTTTGTCCAACATTGTTTTTGCATATTTCAAGTATTTGGCTTTTTTTTTTTTTTTTTAAAGTAGGTTATTCTTACCACTTAAAATATTTTAAAATGATTCCTACGGAGTTAAGGGACTTGAATCTGAAATTAGAGCAAACATTTTTCATATAATCTGTCTTTATGGTTTTCTGACAGTCTTCCTGTCGAAAGATTGAGCACTAGCTAATATCTCTAGGAAGAAAAAATAATAATTTAGGTACAATTAAGATGTTTCTAATTGTGGCTGCTCATTTTTTTTTTTAAAGTCAAAGATTCTGATTTTAGTAAGGTTAGGCCATTATCAAGATTTAGGAGGATATTTGAGAATAGGTATGGCAGTTACACAAGCACTGTAAGACCCAAGCTCAATCACACTTTCCCTACTGATATGCACATTACGACATCCATTACTTCTTCAGTTAATAGAAGATTATCCTACGAAAAGAACAAATAATCTCAATTCATTAATGGGTTACTTGTCTTTAGTTTTATAGAGGCTACCCACTATTTGGTTTGTGGTATTTATGTTCTGTGGTATTGTTAGAAGTTGTCTCTGGTAATGTCTAAGTGAAACTTACAGACCGTCCCAGCATTTCATCTGAGTCACACCTTAAAATTCCCAGTTGCATCTAAGTATTCATTAGAATTATTAGTAGGTAGCACAAGTACTGTTATTTTCATTTTCTTATTCCGGATTCCTTTTTTTTTTTTTTTTTTAAATAGTTAGACATGTGGCTAAATAACAAACAGGTTGAAAGGCTCATCTACAAACTTGAAAATTTGCCCATGAATTAGTGGTGAGTGCTGATGACATAAAATGCTGTAGGTGGTTCCAATGACCCATGTCCTCTAGGAATTGGCAGTAACATTTGATCATTCTGTCTTTCCCCAAGATATTAAATGCTTTATTGGCTTTGTTGTATTGTATGTTTCATAGATCAGAATTATGAAATCCTTCTTCATTTTCTTTCATGCTTTCTGTCCTGTGTTCTGAAGTTTGAATAGAAATCACAACTTAAATGCATTTGCTGTGCTTATAATTTTCTTTTAAGAGATTACATAGATGTCCCTAGCAATTCAGTGTTCATAGCGCATTGTTTGATGTTCTATGTAATTTTAATTCTGTGCCAATTTATAAAATAGCATGTGTAAGGGCAAGTATATATGTTATATAATTTTCAAATATATTTTTTTTCTTGTTGGTATCACCTAGAAATAAAAATTTGGAAACTTAATTATACAGTTGGAAAATTAAAAATAAATGGTACAGTAACATTTATGAATGGCTTTTGTAAGTGGTCATGGTCCATTATGTGATTTTTACAATCTTGTTTGTCCCTGTTTTAATAGCGCATTTTATAGTGCAATTAGTGATAAAAGCACCAGATATCAGAGACACTACACTTATGTATTGTAAAATATATTGCTTGTGAACCTCCTCAGTCTTGTAGCAGTGGTAATTGTTGCCTGGCCTACAAGGAAAACAATTATAGGAGGGGGGAAAGGCTTAGGAAGCTGAGGCTGCAGGAGGGTAATCACTTTATGAAAAATGTATGTTGGCTGGACCATTAGGGATTTCTCTAACTATTTTCTCATGTTGAATTTGAGGCTCCTTCTGAGGGGAATATTTAAAGAGTTGTCCTCTGCACGGCTTTTTAACCTAAGGAGAAATAAAACCCACCCAAAGTTTAAAAAAACAAAACAAAACATAACTAAGAGCCTCTCAGTGGTGTAGGACTGACTCTAAGATATGGGAACTAAGTTTTTTCAAGGTCTCTCAATGGAAAGTAAAATCTTTATGGGAATACTGTATAGAAAGAATCCCACCTTTTCCTTGTTAGACTGGTGTTAGCAGTTGGGCTATTTGGAAAAAACATATTGTATATTGCTAATTTTGTTAATTATGGCAGATATGTAGAGCCTTGCAAACAAAAATAGGGAATTTTTTTTTAAAGATTTTATTTATTTGATAGAGATTGAAAGCACGAGCATGGGGAGGGGCAGAAGGAAAAGCAGACTCCCCACTGAGCAGGGAGCTGGACGCTGGGCTCCATATCAGGACCCTGGGATCACGACCTGAGCCAAAGGCAGACGCTTAGCGACTGAGCCACCCAGGCGCCCTAAAGATAGGGAATTTATTCTCCTCTGATTCTTTTCTTTCCCTAGAAGATCAAGAGGTTGTTAAGTGGAATTATTCCTTAGGACTGCATTGAATCTTTGAAAGATGTGTGTATTTGAGCCCCTCTGTGTTTCTCTTATGACATGTATCTTAATTTCCTTTGTGTTATAATAACTTATATGCTTCTCCGATTCTCCCCACTGAAATTCAGCCTTCTTGCAGGCAGGGATTGTGACTTATTTATTGCTCTTTCCCTCATGACATCTAGTAGCAGCTGTGCAATAAATATGCATTGAATTGGATGATGTGTAACAGAAAGCTCTGAAGGCCTCTGCTTCAGCCTCTTTGCCCAGGTCTTCTCCCTTCCCTCATAGTTGATTGTCTTGGCTTGATGATCAGATCTATTCCTGTTTGGGAAGCCTTAGATGTGAAACATTTATTAATCACCTTTGCCCTCTGTTCAGTTTTGCATTCTCCCCTGTGGTTTTAGTGAGCGAGGCTGTCCAGGCATAACTCATTCTCCTTCTTTACTGTCTCTGTGTTGTCAGCAGTCCAACACATCCCACAGAGTCTGTCAGCGAGTCCCTCCCCTTTACTTCTTTTCCTTATGGCTCTAGAGCAGGGTTTCCCAACCTTAGCACTACTGACATTTCGGGCTGGATAATTCTTTGTGGTGAGGGGCTGTCCCGTGTATTGTAGGATGTTGAGAGTCATTTTTCCTGTACCCACTACATGTCAGTAGCACCCTCTCTTGCCCAGGCGTGACCATCAAAAATGTTTTGAGTTACGGCCAAATGCCCCATGTGGGGCAAAATTGTGTCTGGTTTAAAAACACTGCTCTGGAGAAAAAAAGTTGAGAGATGGTAGAGATCCTACATCCTATACCTTATGTTTCCTTTCCTGTCCCCACCCCTGCTTCTTTACTCCTTCTTCTCTGAGGATGGTGGAGCCATCCCCAAACCTATCCTCTCTGCCCCGTGGCAGGATTAGTTCTTGTGTTCTCTTTGTACTCAACACCTTCCTGATCACACCTTTCCTTAAATCACTTTACTTTGTATGGGGTATTTTTTTTTCTTTCTCTATATCTGTCTTCCCTGTTAGATTTTGAGCTTCTTGAGGACAGGAGCTGAGTTTCTCATATTTTTATTTTCAGTGCTTTATGTAGTACCTGAAGCATAGGAAATACCCAAGAAACATAGTGTGAAGTTAGCTTGGAGGAATAGATTGGAATCATATTGTGTAATCTATTTGAATGCAAATTGAGGACTTGCCTCAGTGGGTAGAAATATGATATTGAAGAGTCTTTTTTTTTTTTTAAGATTTTATTTATTTGACAGAGAGACAGAGAGAGAGAGAGCGAACACAAGCAGGGGGAGTGGGAGAGGGAGAAGCAGGCTTCCCGCCGAGCGGGGAGGCTGATGTGGGGCTCGATCCCAGGGCCCTGGGACCTGAGCCGAAGGCAGACACTCAATGACTGAGCCACCCAGGCGCCCCGATATTGAATAGTCTTAAAAGAAGATCTCTGTTTAAGAAATATTTTGCCATATCTGACATTTGTATGCCGGACACTTAGAAATACTGCCATGGGAAATGAATCGTGAGGCTGTTGGGTTGATATAGTGAGAGGCAGTGGGGACCAGGATATGATTAGGTAGAGGAAATGTTGAAGAAGGAATGGCTTGGAAGCTCTTGTGTGGGTTGAATAAATAGGAATGATAAGCAAGAGAAGAGTTGAGACATACAAGCTGATTTCAGAGATCCAAGCCTGGCTGAAGGGAGAATGACAGAGATGTTAACAGATGATACAAACAACTCACGGAATAGGCTTTGAGATTGGTTGTAATAGGAGACATCCGCCTCTTGTTTGTAGTGGTGGGAGATGGGGTGTGTACAAGGGGAGCAAACATCCTCTAGGAAAGAAGTGGCCTGAGAGTGAGAGTAGGGGTGGGATTTTTTTTCCCCAAAATAAACGCTGGAGTAAGAGCATGGATTAGACTGTAGTCCATATTTTGGGATGCCTGCTGTCATTAGAGTATTCCAGATATGCTGTGAGTTAGTTATTATCATCCTTCGAACTTGCCAATGATGAACCTAAAAAAAACAGTTGGTTAGAACAGGCATTGCAAACTTTTTCTATAAAGCACTAGATAATAAAAATTTTAGGCTTTGTGAACCATACAATCTATGAAACAGTGATTCAACTCTGCCATTATAGTGTGAAAGCGGCCACAGACAATAGGTAAATGAACGACTATGACTGACTTCCAGTAAAACTTTATATACACAAATAGGCAGTGGGCTGGATTAGCCTCTGGGTCATAGCTTGCTGCACCTGCATCGGAGAATGGCATTATTAATAACAAGATTGTGGATACAGTTCTTCCATGGAATAGCCCTTGCTTCATTTTTGAAAAGCAATTCAAAGGACTGGTTAAGAACCTGGGTTCTGGTGACAGGCGTATCTGTATTTAAATTACATCCCTGTAACTTGCTGCCTGTGGGCGACCTTGGACAAGTAACCTGCAATGGCCTAGGTCACACATATAACCGAAAATGAAATTTTGAAGGAAGCAAAGGTCAACAGTTGATCAGAGATGTGAGAAAACATTAAGACTTGGGGAATAAAAGAGTGGAGTTAGTAATTAGGGAAGTCATTGGTGGTCATTAGGAGAGCCACTTTGGTAGAGTTAGTTGGGTCAGAAATCCTGGTACAATGAACTAAGAATGA